CAACCAATGGATTGAAGGGTGAGGCAGGCATTTGTTCGTGGAGCTCGGAAAAGCCAACTGCCTTCGCTCCATTGTCCTGCTCGAAGCGCGGGGCGCATCGTGAAGCAACGCCTTTGTGCCGAGTGCCACGACGTGGTTCGGAAACCAGTTTCCGTAGAACGCGGTGTCGACGATGGCTTGCAAACACGGGGCAAACTCGCGGGAAACAGGCGTCCTGGTAGCGGCCGTCAACTGTTTTGTCTGCCCTGGTTGCTTCAAACGGCTCCTCCAAGAGCGCGGCCACCTCGACCGCGGATAAAAGTTGCGTACATCGAAACGCCAACGTAACTTTAAGGCAAATGACTCATTTTTTGAAACAAGGTTCATTTATGTTTTTCAATTTCGGAGCATTTTATACATGAGGGGACTAATGGTTTAGTAAATTCATTTGGTTTTCTTGTGTAGTCTGTGTGTTTGTAGACAATGTTTTGTAGTTTCAACTTATTACCCGTTCAGTTGGGAAGCCTTGTTTTAGAGATCTAGTTAATTTAATTTGTTGGAATTTTTTTAAGAGACTGGTTGGTCATATAATCAAAGTCTAATGCGGTAAGCTTGTGTGATAAACATGCCGCTATGTTCTTGAAAGCTTTCTTTTTTATTGTTATTATTTTGATGTCAAGCGTTTTAGAGTGTAGAAAGTTCAGGGACTGTGTTCAGGGACTGTATGCGGATTTCTTTCTCATTCATCTTTTTTGAAAACTGCGTGTCAATAGGTGACTTTTGTATACCGCTTACAACGTGTATTTTTCAATATGTGCCATCACAGAATGCTTACGGGCCTTACCTCTGAAGTGTGCAGTATTTTGGTCATTTTCTTTTCGTATGTGTGTGGCCATGGCCTAGTGCGTGCAATATGACTTTCGGCCTAGAGCGACGGTGGAATGCGTCATGTATTTACTGCTATGTCATCTACGTCAGTCAAACAGTGCGCGACACGGAAAAAGCAGCGGTGGACGACCAGAATACCGAGAGCTCTCGAACAGTGCGCGTTTGCAATTTTTTCGAATATTACGCAGCAATATTCTTAAGGAGGGGGCTGTATCACAAACGTCTGCAATCCTCCGTTCACCTGCACGCCCCATCATCCAAGGAAGGGCGCTTTTGTGTTGAGAAGATGACATCCGGCGACAGGCGACGCAGCGGTGGCGCCTCCGTGTCTTCTCACACCTTTACCGAAAAGAGAAACATGTGTCGAGGAAAACTAAATGACCTTGAGAGGGGACGGGACGTCCAGAAAAAGTTTCAACTGCTTGGAATTCGGCACTCGACGTGCAGTCAGCAAGAAGCGCGATCGTCGGTGTCACGAGTCTCGCGTAGGCGGCGAGCATGGAGTGACCCGCGTAACGTATTGAGACGGCTGCAATACCGGGCACCCTCATCGTTTACTAAGCTAGCGAGATCTTCAGCGACACCCCGTCAACTCCCCTACGTGTACCAAGAGCTGGCCTGGTCTGTAACGAACTGTTTATTGTGACTTATTTAAAACTGTGATTTTATAATAACCAGCTTTTAATTAATTATAGTTGTGTGCGCTGCGCCACATGTAGACAATCGCAAAACGCGAGAATGACCTTTGCTTCGTAAATATGTCTGTATCTCCTTCAATTTTGATCATGTTGTCATTTTAATCATTTTCCGCATATATTTGTTGTGTCTGTACCCTTGAAGTGTTCTTTTAGAGCGTAGTTTGCTTTCTTGTTCTTTTCATCGCGTATTAGTGTTTTTACTCTGTTATTATTTTTGTAGTCTACTTGCCATTGCCTTCTTCTAATTAAATAATCGTTTGTGTTTAATCAAATCTGTGTCTGCTCTATAAGTGCGTTGGTCAGGCTCATACATCACCACATGTGCAACCCCGGACGGGTCAGCCGACCTGCCAATAAATTTGAAATTTACCACCTCGAGGCCTCTCAGGCGTCGCAAGCCCAAGCGTAAAGGGGAAGCCTGCGAGTCTGTCGCACGTCGATGTTGAATCGGCGGGGCCTCACCCGAAGTGTGTGACAATATATAGTATCTCCATCATGCCCGTACTTAGCTATTGCGTAGAATCACGGAGCCTTACAAAGAGAGTTCAGCTTAAATTGGGGACGACGCAGCGAGCGATGCAACGGAATATGATAAGTGTAATCTTAAGAGACAAGAAGAGAGCACAGTTGATCAGGAAACAAACCGGCCTTAATGATATCAGTGTTGAAATCAAGAAGAAGAAATGAACATGCGTAGGCATGTAGTGCGTAGGCGGGTAACCACTGGTCATTAGGGGTAACTAATTGGATTTACAGGCAACGCAAGCGGGTGAGGGGGAGACAGAAGGTTAGGTGGGCAGATGATATTAAGAAGTTTGCGGGTATAAATTGGCAGCAGCAAGCACAGGACCGGGTTAAGTGGCGGAACATGGGAGAAGCCTTTGTACTGCAGTGGACGTATACTCAGGATGATAATGATGATGAAGTATTGAGCCTGCAACAAACACCGCTAAGTTGCAAAGGCAGTGTTGCTACTCTAGCCTAGATAAGCAGCTGGCGTGACAGCAGTGTACCGGTGAGCATTGCATACTAATGACCGACGGAACGAATTTCGCAATAAGTGCGTGGGTTACGCTTTTAAATTTGTGGTTGGCAGGGTAGTCTTTTATGGTTTGGTATTGCACTTTCTCTCAATGTTGATCATGCTTTCGATGTGGCATTGCCCTGAGTCCCAAAGGCTGCATCTTATCGCCAGCTCGCAATATGTGGTGTAATGCGGATACCCTGAAGCGTCTCGTCTGTTCCCTTCCTGCTCTTTGACTAGTGCACTGAATGGTGCCCTTCACGTACTACGAGAGCCTAAAAAGACGCCCTTCTCAATATGCTCCCGCAGTCTGGCGCATCCTCACCATCCAGCGGTAAACACTTTTCTGCACTATGTGGTCATGAACCGAGTCTTAGACCACAGATTAACATCAGCCCTCTACGGGCCTTTTCGGATATTATTGACATCCTGTTCTTCTAGCCATTTGCGCTTTCGTAACATATTTTTTTTCATTCACGCAACCCATGCCCAACGCGGCTGTGTTGTGGTTAAGCTATGTGTCACTTCAGTACTGAAAGTTGGGCGAGTTGGTAGTCATTCATGACTTCTTTGCGCAAACAAGTACACGGACACAACGAAAAGAGGCAAACAACACGGGCGCAAACTCACAACGTAGCGTGTGGGCTACGTGAAGATATAAGTACAGTTCGTTGTTCAAAATAAACTAGTTGTGAGTTTGCGCCCGTGTTGCTTGCCTCTTTTCCTTGTGTCCGTGTACGTGTTTGCGCAAAGAAGTCATTTATGTGTCACTTATTCATCTCAACCATTTGTGCATACTGGAAGTCAAGCTCGCACATGCGATTACATATATTATATGGACATAGGAACCAGTGCAGTCCATATTTCTTCATTTGTGCATCTTTATTGGTCTAGAGAACATAGTGGTGCGCCAAGTGGAGTGATATTACAGAGACAAAAATACTTATGACGGCTCTACTACAGTGAAACTTGTGGAAATACGTGGCGTGGGCACCCAGCTATTCCCACTTGTCGAAATACCCTCACTTCGCTTACCAAGGCGTCGATGACGACAATGTTCGAGGTAATAATGTACGGTGTTCGCGGCACGATTACATTCTTCTTACAGAGATTAGCAAACTCGGTATGCGACATGTGCCCCACTTCTTACTGTGATTTGTCGACTTCCTGTTAGCTCGCTTCAGTTAGGCATCGTCTGGAGTGAGCTGTTTGAGGCTTTCTTCCCCATCAGGTCTAGTGACTCCTCGCCATCGATGCGTAGGGGAAGGGGCATGTACTCGCTCGAAGAGGGGACAAAGTTTGCACCTTTTCTTGCTTGACCACTGTGATATGTCTGCTAATTGCAATATTTTAGTATTTGTTCGTTCATATAACGCAGTTTGGCGCATCACTAGCCTCGGTGTGGCTCGCATTGAGGGCTTCCTCTGAGCGACACACGGGGTGGATGAGCGACAAGCGGAGCTCCCAAAGGGCTCTCCACTTAATCAACATCATGCACCGCGCCGGCTGTGACGTGTTCATTTGAGCCAATGGTTCCGAGCTTTCATTCATGGCTGTTTTCAACCTTCCAGCATTTCATGTTCGTGCATTTGCTGCAAATTCAGCTGAGGCATTCAGTGAGTGGTGGGCCCTATCGCTGCGTCATCCACTCTATTTGGAGGGAGTGCATACGCCACTGTGCACCATGGACTTTAAAAGGCCATTCGCGTGGATAGTGGGCTATTATGCCACTTACGTAGTAGGCTAATAATGTAAGTACTTGGACACCTCATGAAAATTTATGTTACTAAAACGAGCGTGAGTGCACACACTTTCATTGGGACTTTGCGTGGATTCTGAGCGGCTGAGACGGAATTTCAATTCAAGTCGAAATGGGCGCATCAATCACGGCATTGGTTCATTCTGTTTTGACTGCATAATTAAACAGACAATGTATCCTTTTGATGGTAATCATCAGGCTCACGTCAACTTTTATCAAAATAGCAATATTCACTGCTGCTTTCCCCAAAAACAGTACTGCTCGTGGCCCCACGTTAGGATGAAGGTTCACATTTTTTTTCGACGCGTCTACGCCTTCACTGCGTGCACTTGGTATATCCTGAACGATGTCATGTCCCGCAAGCATGCAACAGCACTGCTCTGTTTGCATCGCAGGCCGAACCATCGGCAAGCAAAACCATGTTGTTTTCTTGCTGGTGGGTTGACATGTATCTAGCGTCAATCTAATCTTAAGCATCATCTGCGGTATTCAACAAAAAGAGAGGCAGTGTACAAATGAACTTTACGTTTATGTGTGCAGCGTCAAGAGACTGTATCACGACAAGTCTACTATAGCCGCCCTTTTCTGCAAAAAGCATTGATAAACCCTGCACCCGACAAGATTGAGTTCATGATCAATGATAAAGACGCTGAGACGGCATCGTGCACCTTTTTAATTTTCGAGGAACACAAAGAAAGGTTCCGCAACGGACACTGTCTTGAAAACCAGGCACCATTTTCTCCTGCATCGGGAGGAAAAAAAAGTCGTCAGTACCTATGTGGAGCAGCCGGAGATGTTCCACGCCATACTCATAGAACATTTTCAACAGAAAAGCCGTACACATAATCATCCCGGAAGCGTGTGTTCTACAACCCATAACATTGGGCTGTTTTCCCATTCGTAGCTCCCTTGCCCAAGCATCTGGCCACCACGACATTTGGCAGGCACTACATCTAGTATAAAAATTCCTGAAGGCAAGCATTCCATAAGCTAATTCAGGCGTTTATTAATTAGAGTGTAAAATTTCAACTGCGCCAAACTCTTTCTACCTCGACGTAGAAGTCGTGGTCAAAAGCAACAGGGGTGGTATCGCCACAGTATATTTTGTTGAAAATCTTTATAGCCTAAAAAATGCTTTACACAACCGCATTTCAAATAAAGTTTATTCGTTCGTTATTATTATTTTTGACCGTTTCTTCCTGTCTTTCGGTGCGTTGTAAGATGCATTCGTAGCAATGTTATTTAAGGCACAGTGGGAAGAGATGAATGAAAATGCATTAAGACATACAGGCTGTGTTAATAGTCATCGGTTCGTCGGAAAGGCTAGAACGTATCCAAACAGCTGGAATTTCGTCTTCATTATTGGTGTCTGACGACAATTCGTTTTGTAAATTTTTAAAGGCTTTCAAAATAAATACGCCAAACATGATCAGGTCTGTTTCAAAGGTGGTCACCTGTCAAAACCTCTCCCAGCATGCATAATGAATTGACTTCATTTGGTCTTAAAGTATACCCATAGCAAGTACGTTTCAAGATTTATTTGATCTCAAGTCACGTTCAGATGGTCACCGGTGGTTTGAAGAGCTTAATCAACAAAGCCAAAACAGTGCTCCATGATTGCTGCTCACAAGTCTCATGAAAAATGCTTTCGCATATGTTGTCGCAATGTATGCTGCGGAAGAACGCAAAGGAGCCCCTAGAACTCTCTCGTTTTTCTTACCTACATTTCTTCATCCAGTATGTCCGTAGAGGAATAATAATTTGGGTTTTCTAGGTAGGACAATTCAGAATGAAAGCTGTGTTGCGAGTGGTAACTTCCTTGTCTAGGTCTAACCCCTTCACTCCTTCTCAGATGTTTCCAGTTATCTGAAATGTACAATCAACCTGTATTATTGACGAGACTTTACGTTCCAAAACAATGATTTTATAGTGATCATTACCATTGTAGAGGGCTCAGAAAACTCCACCCACTCTTGTTTTCTTATCACAAAAAAACATATACAAGGGTCTCTAACATCTTGATTCCACCTAAATTCAGCCGCATTGGGAGGGATACGGCTCCTCACCTTACTGGCCAGCAGTTGTGCTCATCGGCGTGCGCACGTAAGTGTGAGGCAGTGACCTTGAAGGGGTGTTGTGAATTCTGCACTATATATAGGTATATAAGTGTGTGGTAGAAGGGGGGGGGGAGAGGGCTTGGCAATAACCCAAGTAAAATAGCGCACAAACACACAAATTCAGTGGGAAGATGGCACGGGCGATAAGTTTCATCTGACGTATATATTTTTCGGAAAGAGAACATACAATCATGAAAACAACTAGTCTCCTTTCTCACTATCTAGCAATACTGTGATAGTGAGGCCTGGGCTAATATTCCTGTTTCCCTACATTGTTTCTTCCGTCTACACCCTAGAACTTCTCCTTCTCACCCTCACTTCCTAGTTATAGCCCTTGCGAGACATACGGAATGAAAGATAATCCCAACTAAGCACATAATTATACCATTTGGTATCTACAAACTCTATGAATCAGTCGAAATTGGCTACTGTAACCTTCGTGTGGGACCTTATGTATACCTGATCCTTGCCGTTGCTTCAAATGCAGCGCTTCGGACATGGTTCGCAAAGCTGCAGAGGGCCCGCCACAAGTGCCAAATGTGCATCTAAAAACACTTGTGAGAGAACTGTGCCCCTGAAGCCGTTTGTGCAAACTGTGAAAGGGACTACACCAACTACTCAGAACCAAGCCACTTGTGAAAAACAAAAACAAATAGTAGAACTGAAAATCAAATTGAACTTGCCTTTCTAAGAGGCATGCAAACGTTTTTTTTTTCCTGCGCAACCCATCTTATCCCTGTATCACCAATTTGAAGCGACGGCGCTCCACGTCAAACCTTTCCGGGCCCGCAACTGTCACACAGAGTGTCACTGTGGTCGCGCCATCAGTGCCTCCGGCTGGAGCAGCCTGTACTGCTCCGCCACCTGACAAACAGGGCCGGCAGACTCCCGCGTCTGCCGGACTCTAGGCCCCTGCAAGAGTCGTCAGGCCCTAAACAACTGTGAACGGGCCTGCTGAGCAGGCGCCCTTCGCCCCTTACAAGGAGTGATGTGTACAAGTCCCACTCCTACAGTGTTTTAGACGCCGAAGCATAGGCGCAGGTATTACGAGTGTGCTAAAAAAGAACTAGTAATTACAGGGCCCGCAAAAGCCCCTGTAACCAAAGGCAACACTTTTTGTACACACGCTACAGCACAACTTTCAAATGACACAAATACTACAGTGGAACATCAGAGGATGGCTGAGATACCTCCATTATATGCAGAAACTTTTACACGAACACTCACGAAAATTGATGTGTGTGAAAGACATACATCAAAACACGCCAACTTCCTACACAGTTGCACGATTTTTCGAAAGGACCGGGATGATGCTGTCATGCCTTCCATTGGTGTTGACCATTGGAGTTGATAAAGCAACAACCTGCACACATTAACCGCTCCGGACACCCCTTCAGGGAATAGCCGTCTGAGCCGCACTCTTCAACAAACTCGTCCCGATTTACTCTATTCACATAACTCTACACAAACAACTCAGTATAAACATAAACTCCACTCATTAATAGATGAACTTCCAGAACCGTATCGTCTCCTTGGAGACTTGAACGCACATATCAGTTGACGGGGTGACTTTCGCTGTGATGCGCGAGCCTGCCTACTATAGCAGTTCTTTTTGAACTACGCTGCATGTTTACCGAATCGCAAAGAGCCAACATCTTATAGTCTCGTTAGCAATACCTACTCATCCATAGATCGCAGCATTACATCTTCCTCACTTTCAGCGCTACTTGAATGGAAGGTCACAAATGTTCCTTACGGTAGTTACCGTTTCTCTGTTATTCTGAGATCACCGAAACATAATGAAGGTCCCCCACCTGTTGACAGATGGAAGATGGAAAAAGCTGATTTGAAACAGCTTGGAAAAGATGCCCACTCAAGTTGGTTTTATATGTGTGGCCTAAGCATAGATGCAGCTGCAGACTACTTTACAGCTCTTCTAATTGATGGTGCTACCAAATCGATTCCCCAATCTGGACGGTTCACCAAATGGCGCGTCGAATGCCGAGTGTCAAAATGCACGTAAATGGAAGAACAAGGCGTGAAGGTTCCTTCGGAACTTACCAACCGACGAAAATCCAAATAGCTTCAAAACCATTAGGTCTCAACGAATAAAAGTGTGCTGACAGGCCATACGGGAGAACTCGTAAAGGTTTTTAACAGGCATTACCACTTATACAGATGAAGTGAACGTTTGGAGCAGTTTTCGCTAAGGTAGCAGGGCGACAAATACATTCACTCCCACGTGTAGACGCACAGGGCGACAGCTTGAAAGACGGACGCGAACGCCATCGCCGCACAGCTTGAAAAGGCCTCCAGCTTGTCGCACACTCTTCGCGACTACTAAAAACCTCTTCATCTTGATCAAGGGGCTTAGCGACTACATGCAAGCGCTCGCCACCTAGCAACCGCGCCTGGAAACTTCACTAACAGGACTAACTTTGAAAAGAGGTATGTTCCCACTTTGTGCTCGCTGACAATTGGCCGCATAAATCCTTCTTCGCGCCATGCTGCATGCGCGGTCAAGAAAAAGAAGAAAGCGATGTCTAAGGATAATTAAAGAGTGTCGTAATGCGTGGCATTGCGGTAGAACGATTGCCGCAGATTGTTATATTACTTCCCGAAAGATGCAGAGGACGCGCGACGGAGAACGGCGCATATCAGAAACTCACTCATCAGAAAGAAGGCGACGGACACTATAGTAGTTTGTTCTAATCAGTTCGCTCATGACGACATGGTTCTCCTCGGTGAGTACAGCATTATTTAGAGTAGTGAATTCTTATCAATATCCGGGCTTCTCTATGCACGGATTCTGTACTTTTGTTGATATGAAGAAGCGCTTTAGGAAATCTGTTCCGTTATATGTGTTAATATTTTTCGCATATGCTTCGTTTTTCTGGAAGTCGCAGTGCTACCCAGTCTCAACATAAGCTGCTGTGATCCTTACACTCTAATAATTCTCTTTATTTTCAATGTGTGTATATACACAGGTTGTTACAGTTAAAAAACACCAAACAATAAAAAATTAGGAATGAGTGCTACGTGTTTCCAGCTAGCGCGTTGTTGTTCTTAACAGTACGTAGCACGTCAGAGTGTTCTCTTGATCCGCCAAGCACGCTAATGAAGAATGATTGCTTAATGAACCTCATAATTACTGACTCCAGAGAAAAAAATTTAATACAAGACTTCCAGCTCTTATCTAGAAATAACATAATTTTCAAGCTACGGTTACATAACAACGCTGGTAAATTTTTTTCCAGGGTTTGTTTAAAGTGCACGAAATTCAAAATGTAAAGAAGAAAGATTGAAATGTAAGTTGAACGAATTAGCGAAGGCTTCTCACGCACGATGGTCTGTTGAACAGACTATCGCTGACTACGATGACCATTAAGCGACGGTCGAGGCGGTACCATTAAAAAAAGGGGGGGGGGCACAGGAAAGAAACAATGACGATAAACTTCGACGAAAAAGCTGCTTCCACATGCATTGCGATAGGAGACTGGAGGCAGCGTTCGGCACAGTGCAGACGTTTTTGTTTTTTTTTTCGGGCCAACTCCAAACATTATTATGGGGGAGAGAATGACATTTCTATAAAGGAATGATATAAAAACTTCAACAGTGATGATTCGGGAAGTTTTTTTTTGTTACATTTGCACTGATTACGTGATCTACTGGATACTTGCAAAGAAAACGGCACGATTGGGTTTGGGTTCAAAAGTTTATTGCTCGTACTTCATCTCCATTTCCCGTCTCCATTTCGTCTCCATTTCCCGTTAGTTCCCGTCTGTTAGAGCGCAGTGCGTATGAATAAACAGAACGAATAAAAAAGTATTTTGTGCTCTTATGGGTAATTATTAAATATTTGAAAAGCTAAGTGTTGGAAAGAGATCAGCATCATTGCAAAGTCCAAACCGCTCTTATTGAGACGTCATGGCCAGGTAAATAGCGCGGTAAAACAGCCCTCCATCAGCCCCGACACACCATCTACATAGAGTCAGCACAGTTTCTGCCGCGTATCGTAGCATTCGTGCAGTAATAGAGCGGAACCTATCTGCCATTTCAGGCTTCAGTCTTTTGGTCATTGTCGTCGATGTAGACGTGGTCTTTTTGTATCGACATAAAAAAATCTAGCGGAGCTAAATCTGGGGATCTTGCAGGCCAAAACGGCCGATCTAATTCTCAGGAAATTCTTGATCAAGCCAGACAGCCGTGCGGACTCAAGTCCGCACGGCTGTCCATGATTTAGCCTCAATTCTAGATACACTGGCCGAGGCACAGTTATTTTTTGTAACTAAATGCGTCCAAAGCATGCGTGTTCAACTTGTGATAGTATAACGGAACTAATTGGGGTACAAGAAATTGACAATAGCCACAGCGTTGTTACCTGAAAACTGTTTAAGTCTTGCAAGTAGTAGTGTAACGGATATATAGCCCATCTTTCTATCCTGTTGCAGCGTAGCTACGTAGCTCACAAGTAGTCGAACCTTTCAGGGAGGTCTGATGAGCAGTTGCCTTCTACAACCTCGGATTCGCTAACAATTTCTTAAACTTCAATAAAACCTAATGCGGTTTGCCGAAGGGACTCGACGTTGGCGTGTACAGCGCAACAATTCTTCGCCCAGCCGTGGTTGTTTAGTAACTAAGGTACTCGGCTGCTGAACCGCAGGTCGCGGGATCGATTCCCGGCTGCGGTGGCTGCATTTTCGATGGAGGCGTAAATGCTGTGGGCCCGTGTGCTCATATTTGAGCGCA